CACAAAACGAGCCCGTAATGCAATCAATTGTGACGGCGTCCATTTGGCCGATATCATCTTCTCGACTTGACCAATAAAATTCTAAAGGTTCAAATAAAGATAATCAAAGAACAGAATCGAAGTTTTTTGATTTAGAAAAAAAATGAGAGCCAAACAACATCGGATGACTTCTTTTGGCCCACCTTGTATATACGGTACATACACCAAAATAACATTTTTTACAATTTTTGTCTCTGTCTGTCTGTCTGTCTGTTTGTTTCGGCTAATCTCTGGAACGGCTGGACCGATTTTGACGGTACTTTCATTGATCGCGCACATAGCGATACCTGGGTCCCCGCCCAGCCGGAGTGGAGGAGCTCGTTGGGGCTTAGTCGGTAGTCGTTAAGCTGGGCGAGTTTGGCGTGAGCCGAACTTAGCCCAGCGCACCTTTCTAAAGACGTAGTCTCCTGTGACTAATAGGGGGGGAGGGCGCGGACCTCGCCTCGCGACCTCTCCCTCTTTATCCACTGGAGGCGCGGAGTCCGACATAACCCGGTCCGACCCCCATCGGCAGGGTATACGTAAAGACTGGGATTCGATACTAAAAAAAAAAGGTAGCGGTTGATGATATAAAAAGTAACTTAGGCTACCTTTTTTAGACTTCTTCTTTTTTTCTCCTCTCTCTTTCTTCTCTTTTAGAGATCTTCGCGCCGCGGCGTCGCCCGCGCGGTACTACAATAATCGCGGGTAACATCGCGGTACTCAGCCATCAATAATAAAATTTAATGTTTCCGAAGCGAAACGAGAGCAGGTCGCTAGTACACAATAAAATAGTATTGTCAAACTCGTACTTATTGCGATGTACGAGTTTTCGAACACCCAAACTCGTGTCTGGTTTTTTGTTTCGGGTTCGTACGCGTATATCCAGGATTCGTCACCTGATACAATGTTGTATACACCATTTGAGGATCCTGCGTGGAATCTTTCGAGAGTTCTGACGCACCAAGTAACGCGAGCCGCTTTTTGCTCTTCACAGAGCGAATGCGGTATCCATCGGGAAAACAACTATTTTACACCTAATTGTTCATGCAAGATTATTTGTATTTGACTCATGCCAATGTCTAAAGTTGCCTGAATTTCGCGGTATGTCACATGTCGATCTTCCTCAATCAGCTTACGCACAGCATCAACTTTTTCTTGGATGACTGCAGTTTTTGGACGACCTTGACGGGGATCATCACTGAGCTTAACACGTCCACGTTGAAACTCAGCAAACCAGCGACAAATTGTGGTTTTGGATGGGGCTTCATCACCAAATGCAGAAATCATCCGGTCAACACACTGTTTTTGTGTTAAACCACTTCGAAAGTCATAATAAATCATCGCTCTTGAATTTTCTCGAGTCAATTCCATTTTCTCAACGACTAAACAAGTTTGACAAAACCTCGTGACAAGACCGAGAATCTTTTTTTAAATAAATAAATGGTATTCGATTTTTAAAACCAAGGAGTTTTCAATTAAAAAGATTTTAATATGACAGGAACAGTGGAAATATTCCATTTCCGATACTTTTAGTGCAGCCTAGTACCTATATAAGAAATCCTGAAACCAATCCAGCTAATGCAATTAAAATTATAATATAAAAACAATTACGTATGTAATGACTATGTATAATTAAAACAAATTTTACAATTTGATCTCGCATTTTTAATTGTCAATTCAGTTTTTCTGACGATTCGATTGCTTTACAGTTTGGGAGAGATATTACGACAAAGGCAAGATCTTCCACCGAGCGGGTGATATTGCTCGGTAGACCGACGGTCCATAGATTATACACTTAATATATTCGAGACGCGACGGTCCGAATGTTGTTTTTCGGAACTTGTGCGCTTTATCTTGAAAATTTCGAAAGCGAGATTCAGGCATCTGTCAATTATCTTGCGTTGTATGATGGCTACCCGCCACATACAGTTTTCATGGTCAGTCGTTAACGAAGCCTATGAGAGATTTTGATTGTGTCTAAGACAGAAATATGTAGATCCTACTCTAAATATCTAGACATATATACACAGCTACTTACTAGTGGTAGGACCTCTTGTGAGTCCGCGCGGGTAGGTACCACCGCCTTGCCTATTTCTGCCGTGAAGCAGTAATGCGTTTCGGTCTGAAGGGTGGGGTAGCCGTTGTAACTATCTCAAGGTGGGTGGCGCATTTACATTGTTGATGTCTATGGGCTCCAGTAACCACTTAACACCAGGTGGGCTTTGAGCTAGTCCACCCATCTAAGCAATAAAAAAAAAATTAAAAAAACAAATCCTGTTTATTCACAGCGTAAATCAACAGATTCGATAAACATTTCATAAGCCATTCGCTAAGGATCGTAAAGGACGTCCAAAACGCTTGAGGATTTTATTAAAATCAGCTATTTGAATTTAAGATGAGAATCACGTAGCACTCCCTCGTTTCTCTGGTTTATCAAGGGTATCAGAAAGGAGAAAAAGGCGTCTTATTGATCCTTAAGATAAATGAGTTCGTTTTATTCGTAGCTTCTAGTTAATAATACCACAGGAATAAACGTCAATCGTAACTGTATACTATGAATACATATAAATAAAATTGGAGTGTCGTCTGTTTGTAATATTTAAATAAACGCTTCTTATTACATGCATATGAATTTATAATACGGTACATACACCAAAATATCATTTTTTTACAATTTTTTCTGTCTGTCTGTTTTTAATTGCATTTCAATCAAGTTTACTCCATTGTAATAGCTGAAGAAGTTTTTTTTTGTTATGATATTTTTTTCCAAATCGTAAACTTTAAATAGCTCTTCTGTAAAGTTACCAAAATATCGCTTAAACTATATGTAAGTTTTCGCCTCTGGATATGTAACTTCCAAAGAAAAATCAAAGGGAATTGAAAACGTACCGTACACAGGTGGCCTATGCAAACAAAATTTTCAAAAGAATTTTCAAAGAATTTTCAAGAAAAGACATAATTTTCGTTTTTCGAATTTTCAAGAAAAAACCCCGCTTCCGTTGAACTTTGTTTCGTAACGTAATTAATACCTGAACTCATTTCTACAGTCTAACTACCGAATATAATGAACCGAAAATGTAGCGGAACTCCGCAATTTTACTTAAGATCATTTTCGCGAATATACGAAACAAGTCAAGAGAAACTCATTCTCGTAGGCATTATACGAAACGTCGCCGCGTCGTTTGGAATAAATAAGTAAATAAAATGATTATATTTCAGGAGAAAGGAAGTTCGAGTTTCAAGATTACGCTTATTTAGCGCGTGAGTAATCTCTATATATAAAAATGATTTGCTGTTGTCTCGCTAAAACTCGAGAACGACTGAACCGATTTGGCTAATTTTGGTCTTGAATTATTTGTGGAAGTCCAGAGACGGTTTGTAAGGTAGATAAATATGAAAATACTCGAATAACAATATTGTTTTTCCTTTGATGTGTCCCCGTCGCCGCGTCGGACCGATTCCTTTAGTTTGTTTTAAGTTTTATTTATCGATTGAGGCACTATGAAGTCTGCCGGGTCAGCTAGTCCGCAATAATTATTCAGAGTGAATTTATATCGGATGAAAATAAAAAATGTTACGACTAATTATTATTTATCTACGTATTTTATGGATAACTTCCGTGTGGCGAACATTTCGAGGAGTTAATGACCGATTCTTTGTTAAAGTTTTAAAGATTTTATGAACTAAAGGATTAAAAACCCTTTTTTTTTGTTTTTCCTACCTAAGCTGGTAGCCTTGAGAGGCTATTCCAGCATAACCTTAACTAGTAGGTGAGCTCACGTGACTCAAACCTGACGACGTTGCTAACACGAACCCTAACAAGAGCCGTGCTTCGCAGAATCTACCATCAGATCGGAAACGCGACCCACTCAGAAGATCCGGCGAGAAACTCAGTGGGCTGTGTCTGAGGGTTAAATTGCTCGTCAAGCCCTTCGTCGCAAGCGACGGGTTCGTTGAGAACGGTGACCGGTGCTTGAAGTACCTAGAAGCACCATTAGTGGATCGAGAGGATCCGAAATGACGTGTTTTGGGCGACGTCGACTGCTTTCCATTCTTTCCGCAGGATCGGGAATGTAGTTACCGGCGGCCACGATGAGAGGGTTCTCGTGTCGTGCCGCTTTGTCGAAGTGGAAAAAAACCCGATATAGACGTGGAAAAAAACCCGATATAGACGTGGAAAAAAACCCGATATAGACGTGTCAAATGAATCATATTACAGCGGTGTTCGAATTCCGCAAGCAGGTACCAATATTTCTAAGAAAATGCGAACTTAACATGTGTTTACAAGTCACTTTCATCAAACCCGCATTTATAAATTTCGTGATTAATCAAAGCATAACGTATTGTAAGTCGTCGTGGCCTAAAGGATAAGACGTCCGGTGCATTAGCGATGCACCGGTGTTCGAATCCCGCTGGCAAATACCAATTTTTCTAATGAAATACGTACATAACAAATGTTCACGATTGACTTCCAGGGTGAAGGAATAACATCGTGTAATAAAAATCAAACCCGCAAAATTATAATTTATGTAATTACTGGTGGTAGGACGTCTTGTGAGTCCGCACGGGTAGGTACCACCACCCCACCCATTTCTGCCGTGAAGCAATAATGCGTTTCAACTTGAAGGGTGAGGCAGCCGTTGTAACTCTAGTGAGACCTTAGAACTCATATCTCAAGGTAGGTGACGGCATATACGTTTTAAATGTCTATAGGCTCCTGTAATCACTTAACACCAGGTGGACTGTGAGCTCGTCCACCCAACTGTGCAATAAAAAAAATCCTCTCAAAAATCACCTTTCACGAATATACTATTACTAGAAGCTAAAGGCACAAGGCAATCGGATCAGCACTTCTTTGTGGTGATTGCTCTCAGTACAAATTTGAGATAAATTTACCGGCTTTACAATCGCCTAGAAATCATTAAGCTTCCTGGCACAAATACAACAAGATATGTCTTCATTTACAGGTATCCTTCATGATGCAAGAAACGAACGAAACATATGATAACAGCACGGAGATCTACCAGCCCTACTACGAGAGGCCGGAGACCTACATCGTGCCAATACTTTTCGCTCTCATCTTCGTGATCGGTGTTGTAGGAAACGGTACCCTAGTAGCGGTCTTCGTTAGGCACAAGGCCATGAGAAACGTTCCAAATACGTAAGTAAACTGCTTATAAACCTTTTTTGGTGTAAATGACAAAACAAGACCATCTGGCTGGGTTTGCGACTAGATCTACTAGGCTTTACTGCTGGTAAACATAATTTTAGGTAGAATACAAGGCAAGGCAAGTAGTTTGGATAAAAAACGAGTTTCCTGTCTAGGTCGAATTATAGCAACACTACCGGAAACTTTTGCCCAAAGCATGATTATTACACACGTATCTTTTACGTTATGTTGATGTTCATGATTCTAGAGCACGCGATGCGAGTTAGAATAAGTCGATTATAACAATAATTCAGTACCAAACTTGCTGGTTCTTAAAATAATATTTCTACACAAAAAAAAAACAGCATTTATCTTCCAATCCTGATTAGAAATCCCTCAATTGCTCATCGTTTTCTCATCACTTATATTATAAGCCAATTAATAATAATTACCCAATCACTTAAATTATAAATCAATAATTATAATTGCCCAATCGCTGGAAATGAGTAATGGGAATACACCGAGTTTTAAAACATGCAATAAAATATTATAAAAAAAAGGGAAAATGAAATCGATGGTTGACGAAACATGATAGATTCTGCGAAGCACTGCTCTTGCTAGGGCTAGTGACGGCAAATTTTCTCAGCTTGAACCCGCGAGCTTACCTACCTGCCGCGCGAAACCGGAATATCACCTTAGGCTACCAGCAAATTGTTAGGAAGAAAAAACATATAAAAACGGTAACAAAACACTCACAACGAACTCAATAAAACTAAAAAAATCAATGAGCAAACTGAATTAGCTAATGTTCTTAATGAGAAATTAGTCTAAAGATCCGACACGCTGCCAGAATTTTATTACGCTTGGCAACTCACGAGCAATAAATTATATCAAATGAATATACAAAGCTAAAGAATGCAATGCCAGCTGTGATCTCTATCTCGTCGCCGTAAGCTAGTAATAAAAATACTAAAAGTATAGCTTCGAAACAAGTAGCCTGAATATCCTTTGAAAAATTACTCAGCTTGTTTGAGATTTTTATATTCCATGAATATTTTTAATAAGCGGATTTGTCCGTCCGAGATGACACGCCTTAGGGGATACTCACTGAGAAATGTACTCTGCAAAGTATAATAATATTATTTCTCTTCAATGAATAAGTAATTCTGAATTAATTCTGATTTTTTCGGACAAATCCCACACAGTTGACACGGCAACATTTCGCTATGTACATGAAAAATACAATGGACGTGTGCATGTACCTATCAATAATTTTTTTACAGTTACATTCTATCACTGGCCTTGGCTGATCTGCTAGTCATCATCACCTGCGTCCCCTTTACTTCGATCGTGTACACCGTGGAATCCTGGCCTTGGGGTAGGACTGTGTGCCAAGTGTCGGAAGCCGCCAAAGACGTCAGTATAGGGGTGTCAGTTTTCACCCTGACAGCGCTGTCAGCGGACAGATACTTCGCCATCGTAGATCCGCTGAGGAAACTACATGCAACAGGTAAAAATGTTTCTAGTGTAACGTTATTTAAGTATGTTTCACTCTTTTGGAGCGTGCAACATTTAAACACAAATCACATTCGGGTGTCATCGGGCGCGATCGGAAATTCCCGAACGCGCAGGTGTCCTGTGACGTCATTCAACAAGATTCGCCCGCCAATTTAAGTTCAACATAAAATCGTAATTTTAGTATAATTTGCATTATCTAGTTCTAGTGCCTAGTGTCGTTTACTCTCTTTTGTTCATATATTAATATTATACACTTACCTACATCTAAAACAATGTATTTATGAAGTAAGTAATGTAATACGGAGAACAAATAACAAACCAGACTTTCAATACTTCACGTATATGATATTTCTCAACGAGTTTCTTATTCGTCAAAAAGTTTTCTTTCGTTTTTTTTTCTAAAAATACTTTTCAAATTTGTTCATCCAATGATCTCTTCAAACTTTATACGTTATATTTGTATAACTTCAATATAAATAGATGTATATAAAAAGAAGTCTTGCTTGTCTCTATATACGTTTCAAAACCATTGATCCAATTATGATGAAACTTGGTACAATCGTTAGTGGAACTCCAGGAAAAATTTCTATCAAAATCATATCAACGCATATGAGTTATTACACAAAATTGTCTACTGCAATTTTTAGATGGAGAACCTAGTAAAATTGTATGAAAAACATCGATTTCTTGTGATTTCGATCTGGTGGTAGATTCAGCGAAGCACTACTCTTGATAGGGCTAGTGGTAGCAAGTCCTCTTAGGTTAAGTCCCCTGAGCTCACCCACCCAGCCGTGCGTAGTTGGAATAATAGCTCCTTAGGCTACCCAAGATTAGGTAGGTAGGATTGGGTAGGTCTAAGCCAACAGCGAATATAATAATAAATAATGAGAAAACATTTAAAATAATAGAAATTTTAAACGTTACAAACGAAATTTTGAGAACAATCTTCGCGAACATATTCAGAGTTTTGACGGCGAAGAATGTTCAACGAATTAAACTTTATCCGAACAAAAGTACTGATTCAGGTAACTAGAGAAACTTTTGAGCCTTTAAAACATCTAACGGAGGAGTATGAAATTTTGCACACTTATAGAGAATATAGAGAAGAAGTGCACAATGTTAATATTTTTTTTTAATAATGCATAAAAGATACATTAAATCAATAAAGAAAATATTACACACACTACATACCATATATTTGACGCACACACGCATGCATACTATTTATTGTCAAACTTTTGTTCTTGACGTCTGTGATCAAATTGAGAATAGATTAAATATTGTTTGTCTTTATTAATATTTTTTTATAGTGTAGCCTTGACGAAATTTGGGATTATAGAAGTATAAAATACAATCATAATAGTGTACAAACTTACAATTCCAATTAATTATAGTCGAATTTCGACTACTGCAGGACCTCTAGTAATTGAAAATCTGTCATGCCTTTAATTGAGAGTTTTCAATTTGACTACAACAATATAAATTGACTTCATTAAATACAGCTAATGATATCACATCGCAAATGACGAATTGGCCGAGAGCCCGCATCCATCGATGTTTCTCTCTGAGATCATTACTGATTTTAATTACAAAAATCAGTTTCGTAACTTTACAAAAATTCCATTTTCAATTGACTTGTGCTCATTGAATTTTCAATTTCAATGAACAGTATACTGATACCCAATTACGTAATTGAAATCGATGATTTGAATTGTGCTCCCAATTACTGGCTTAATCAGTAGTTCGTGACCACTAAAATCGTAATATATTCGAAGCGCATGAAGTGATATGAAATACATATCGAGGATTGAAATGCCATTTGGTTTAAGCAACATTTCTAAAAATTACCGCGGAGCCATTTAAAGTTTAAAATTTTGGAAAAAATATCATAACAAAACACTTGCTGCTGCACTGCAGAACAAGGTCGGTTTGAAGGGTGGGGCAGCCGTTGTAGATGTCTATGGGCTCCAGTAACCACTTAACACCAGGTGGGCTGTGAGCTCGTCCACTCAACTAAGCTACAAAAAAAACTTCTTCAGCTATTTGGATGGGGTAAGTGAAATTAAAAATATCGGATTGTTAACGCTCATACCAAATAAAATGAACCTTTCATTACAAATATAAATGTCGCGTATTAAACAAAATGTCGCTTAAACGCATTATTATAATATATATATATATTATTATCATTTCACCCCTCGATATGATGAAATTCGTAAATGTGACGTGTGCATGTTTTTTTTAATTTTTTTATTGCTTAGGTGGGTGGACGACCTCACAGCCTACCTGATGTTAGGTAAGTAGTTACTGGAGCCCATAGATATCTACAACGTAAATTCGTCACCCACCTTGAAAAATAAGTTCTAAGGTCTCAAGTATAGTTACAACGGCGGCCCTACCCTTCAAACCTTATATTACGTGGTGACCAGTTGATTGTATTTTCTTTTTTTTTCAAATTACTACAAAGTACTTTTATATAACACAGCAATGTATCGGTGGCAAAAAGTTAAGCACAAAACTTTTGCCATCAACACGGTATGCTCCCGCGGGCTATTCGACTTCAGAATACAACAAGATAAAAGTTTCAAATCTTTGTGTGTTATTATTATTAGTGACTTGTGTATTGGAGTTTCGTGTTTGTAACCAAATTCATAGTCCACCCGATTTTCACCTTAATTTATATCAAATTAAAGTTAGAATTCCATTAGACCATCTGAGCTTCAAATAGGAACACAATATTTCACTGTGGTCAGCCCAGACAAGATAATCTCATTAAGTAAGGGTTTTAGATACACAGGTATATTTTAGAGGATTCCATACTGATAAATGCGTACAAAATCTTAAATATATCGGCCACAAAACACGTCCTAAGTTGATAGTTCTATATTAATACTTATAGTACCTCATGTGTACCTCTTGTGACTGACCACCGAATTTCAGATACCTGAGATGTTATCATTTTATCGAAGACAATATCTAGCTAAGACTAAAATAACTAGTGTCTAGCTGGAATATTTAGCCAAGTCTGTCAAAATCATCAAATGCTCATACTATTTCTTACCAGTTCTTAAGATAAACAATTTTTTTTTTTTTTTTTCCTACCTAAGCTGATAGCCTTGAGAGGCTATTTCAGCGTAACCGTGGCTAGTAGGTGAGCTCACGGGGCTCAAACCTGACGACGATGCTAACACGAACCCTAGCAAGAGCCGTGCTTTGCAGAATCTACCACCGGATCGGAAACGCGACCCACTGAGTAGACCCGGCGAGAAACTCAGTGGGCGTACAATTTTCTACCAATACAGAGTAGCTATCAAAAACAAAGTACAATATAAATCATATCTGAAGCCATTTGCAACAATTACTCAAATACAAAGTAATACGTGCAAACTTGAGAGAATCGATTTTCAGTAAAATATGAATCATTCTCAAAATTATTAAAAGGGAACTTTGAAATGAAACCCTACAAGCGACGATTAAATTTTACGACCTTCCCAAGTTTCAAAACAACCCTTAGGTATTCGATATATTATAATTTATGAAATATCAATAAAACTAAATATATACATCACACTACGCTGTCAACATAATAAATAAAATAATAAATAAATAAATATTTACTAACAATCACGCCACGTTAACTGGTCCCGTGATAAGTAAAGAACTTGTGTTACAGGTACCAGATAACGGAAATAAATGTAAAATTTTTATTATACACATACATATATTTAATATTTTAATATACATCCATAACTCTGGAAAAGACATTTATATGTATCATACAAATATCTCCCCTTGGCGGGATTCGAACCCGCGACCCCCTTGTGTAGTGACCATGTCACTTACCACTACACCAGACGGCCGTCACTCTCTATAAACACAGGCCCTAATTTTTATAACAAAACTACACTTTAGCATCATGTCGATAAGTCAACTTACACCGCCATATTAGAAACTTAACTAGCCCTTTATCATATAAATAAATATTTGGCAATAAATAAATAAAAAATATTATCAATTGAAATTTAAAAATAAAACTATAACATCCCTCAAGTTGATACGAAATAGACATTTTGAACAAAAAACCATTAGATTCGTGTGATTAGTTTCAGAGTTCATCCCGGACAAACATCATGAAACGTGACTGATGATATATAAGTATTAAGGACGTTTTCACGTACGATTTTCACCGTGAAAGAACAAATTCGTGTGACAAAAACAAAACAAAACCTTAAAAGCTGTAAAGCTGCGTTACGTCACTGCGATCTTAAGGCGTGGTTTACGTAAGCCCGCACGTGTAGCTACCGTAACGCTGCCGGCTCTGCTTGTTTTTGCCGCGAGCCAATCCAGTTTGAAACACGGAACAGCTGTTGTACAGTAAAATAGGAACCTGAGCCTTATGCCTTTTTTTATTGCTAAGAAAGGTGGACGAGCTCACAGGCCACCTGGTGTTAAGTGGTTACCGGAGCCCATAGACATCAACAATCTATAGTTACAACGGCTGCCCCACCCTTCAAACCGAAACGCATTACTGCTTCACGGCAGATATAGGCAGGGTGGTGGTACCTATCCGCGCGGACTCACAAGAGGTCCAACCACCGGTAAAAAGTCTCAAACTGGATAGCGGCAATTACGTTATAATGTCTATAGATTCCGGTAACCACTCAACGCCAAGATTGCCGTGTGATTGTGAAAGGTGGCCTGTAAGAAATGAATGAGGAGAGTGGAAGATCGAGCTCACTGATGTAAATTAAAAAGTACAGTGGTAGCGTCGGTATTGGAATAGTTGCAGACATATCTACACACGACGAGGTGTCATTCGTCGAACTTTCAAAACTATCTGCCCACTTCCCATCAATTATTGAAGATACTTCAACTAGGGAGTATGTTTAATTTTTCTTACATTAAGTCTTTAAATTGTAATATGAAGGTTCAATAAATATTTCATACACAAAATACAGTCCACGCTTAATTATCTTAACGCAACACGAGGCC